GTCGTTCCAATATGCGTTTTTGCTGCCTGTTGCAACGCTCTAGCGCTGCACGGCAAAAACGCATAATAACTAGAGCGAACGATAACTGTCCTACGGCACAGGTAAATACCGGATTCGGATATTTATCTTCAGCTCCTGTCCGGTCCCTGAAGAAGCATGCCCCTAAAATGACTGACCTCCGGTCATGTTTTCCCCAGCAAGACGTCCCGTGATCTGTGCATGCTCCCAGTGCTCCACTCGTCGTCGCCCGAGTTTGATATCATAAAAACTGCTCGCATCGCCGGCCACCCAAACGTCTGATCGCGCTCGAAGTTCTGCATCCACTATGTAACCGCCATTGTTCTGTTCAACAAAAATTTATTAATTTCGAAAATACCGGTGTGAAGAATGTTCAAAAACTATTCCTCAAAGCGTTTCACGAGTGATCTCTGGCTGATTTATTGTTTTTCTCAAAACCGAGAACTGACAAAATTTCCTTCTTTTTCCTCAAATGTGCAAAATATGTTGTCCAAAAATATATGTCTTATGTGACAAATAAAACAAAGAAAGATGGCATCGAAAAGACCTTACAGGATCAATTTCCAAGCCAGAGGCGTCTGCCAGATCGGTGTTTGCAGTGATTCCCACCGCCGCAATGATATGATCCGTGTTTATGACCTCTGAAATGATACAGAAATTTCTTTTTGCATAAAAAGCTATTTGGCAGTGCTAAATTACTGAACAAATTTAAGCAGAATTATAAACGCTATTCAACGAGTAGATGTTTGCTGCGAACACAGAATTCTGTTTCATCCCTTCAACATTTTTGGCTTCTTAGTGACCATTCGATTGAATTTTTCACCTGTCTAACTTCACTTTTCAGGAAAAATACTTTAGAGGGAGACTTGTTTGGCTGGCAATCCCTTCAGGAGACAAAACGAACACCACAACTGTCAGTAGGCTGACCACTAGATGCAGCATTAGACAAAGCAAATGGGAAAGTCGCTAGGTGACTTTCCCGTCAAGCAACAGTTCTTTCAAGGCACTTCATCAGGCTACTATTTACTGCTTTACGCCTTTCAAAACGCAATGAACACCCAGATTCATACCTCCTGTGACGAGTTGCAAACGCAGTTTGCCATTTTCGCCCATCGTAATGCGTTTGATTTCCTTCTCGGCCATAACATTAACACCACTCTTTCGCAATTCCTTGCTGGCATGCTTGCTGAGGAATTCGGGCAGAATTTCAGCTACATTGCCCTTCTCGCGGAATATCTGATAAAAACCCAATTCAATATTACACATTTGAACAGCACGTCTCCTTAGCGGTGTGAAATAGAAAAC